GGTCTCACTCTGTTGCCCAGGCTGGAGTGCAGTGGCCCATTCACAGCTCACTGCAGCCTCAGTTTCCTGGGCTCAATAAATCCTCCCACCTCAGCCTCCTGAGGACCTAGAGCTACAGGTGTGCACCATGCACTCAGCAGGGCTTTTTCTCCATTGCTCTGCCTGTATCTGGTGCACATGAGTGTGTCTGAATAAGAGTGTGTCTCTTTGGTTGCTGATTTCTGTGTCTGTCTGTGTTCAGCTGCCTGTCATTTGAGGCGCTTTTCTGTGTGTAGGGCTAGGCTGAAGGTGACCCTCCTTTTCTCAGGTCCACCTCCCTTCCAGCTCTGTCCCAACGCCAGCCTCACAGTCTCTGTCTTTTAGATCCCCTCTTTTTCTCCCAAGTCTAGGTATCTTGTAAGTTGCCTCTGCTAACTGCACTTTTGCTGTCCCCAGGGCCGGGCTGATCAGCCCTCTGAGTCCTTTGAGCCCTCTGGGCCCACCGACGCCCGTGCCTCCACCCCCACCCCCAGGCCTCCCCACCTATGAGCAGGCGCTGGCAGCCTCTGGGGTACACGACGCACCTCCACCCCCCTACAGCAGGTATGGGGCGTGGCTTCTGCCCGGGGGCGGGGCGCAGAGGCTTGGGCACGGTTGGAGGTGGAACCTGGGCTCAGGGGCGGGACTTGAAATTTGGGCCTTATTATCTAGGGCGGGGCTTGGGGCGCAGGGGCGGAGCCCCATGCAATAGTCTAGGGGCGTGGCCCAGCGTTGTATGTGTGGAGCAGTATAGGAGGGTGGGGTCTGTGCCCAGAGGGTTCGGGATTGGCTGAAACGCCAAGGGCGGTCGGAGTGGTCCCGGTAGAGGGGGGAAAAATCAGCAGGATCTTTGACTCCCTAGTGTGCCTCTCCTCTTGCAGCCTCAGGAGGCCTCACTGAAGAGCTGCTTTCAGACCTGGCTCTCCGAACCGCGACCCTGATTCACACCGGATTCCGGAAGCCGCTAGGCCTCGTAGACGCCGAACCTGGACTTGGAGGGAGGGATAGTGGGAATAGGGGTCTTCCGGCCCGAGGCCTGCCCTGGCACAAGCGTTGCCGCCGCGTATGGATATACATATGTTCTCGGCAACATGTTCCTGTGTCCTGGTCCCTCACGGGCCCCCACACTCTCCTGACCGTGAGGGCACCGGTCAAACCCTGCCCCCGTGGTAGACAGACGCACGGGGAAACTCGTACCCAGGAGCGAAGTCCCGGCTGTGCCGTCTTATGTGTGAGCAGATGACCTGTCCATCCCCTCCAGTGCCACAGGGTACGCACACGCAGATCCCTGCCTGTGCACACGCGTGTGTTCGTGCACTCCCCGTGTGGTACAGGGGCGCTTCGTAACCCAGGGAAAGAGTGGGGGGCACATTCGCAAGTGTGCTCGGTGCGGGCAGGCTCGCACTACACCCAAGGAGCTGGAGTTGAGCTGTTCTAAACCCTTCGGAAAGGAGACCAAATAAAGCAAAAAAAAAACAAAAAAAAAAAAAAAAATCTAATGACATGAATCGCGATCTCGGACGCATTAGAACTGGTTTTCTGTGCAAACGCGCCCTACACCCGCAGGCCCCGCTCACTCTCTCTCTCTGTCTCTTTTTTTTTTTTTTTTTTTGCATTTGCACGGGATTGTGGGAGGAAGCGGAGCGCAGCCAGACACCCCGCCGCCCGCCCCCCCTCCCCTTCCCCCTCCCCCAGCCGCCTTGTGCAAAGATGGCTGCACCGTGAGCGCAGAGGAGGAGGAGGCGGCGGCGGCGGCGGCGAGAGAGCGAGCACCCATCGCCTGCACCCACCCCGGGGCCGCCCGGGACGCCCCCTCCCAAGCGCGCGCCCCCCCTTTTCTCTCGCAAGCGCCGGGGCAAAGGCGGAGACAGCGGGGTCCCTCCTCCCCCCTTCCCTCCTCTAGGGGGAACCCCCCTTCCCCCTTCCTTGGCTCAGCGACTGCACCCCCTCCCTTGCCCGCCCCTCCGCCCCTGCCCCCTCCCTCCCCCGCCCGGGGCCTTCCCGGGCCTTCCGCGGCTGCAAAGAAAAAAAGAGAGAGAGAAAAGGGGGGAAAAAAAAGCAGCAGCGGAGGGAGCGGCGGCGGAGGAGAGCGCGCGCGCGCCCCCTCCCTCCCTCCCTCCCTCCCTCCCCCTCCCCCCAATTTCCACCGCGGCCAATTCATGGACAGGAACTACCCCAGCGCCGGCTTCGGGGACCCGCTCGGCGCCGGGGCGGGATGGAGTTACGAGAGGTCAGCGAAAGCTAGGTAAGGAGCTGAGGGTGGCCTGGAGAAAGGGGCCAAGGGGTGGGAGCCCAGCCGGGCCGGGCCGGGCCCGCCCGGCGACGCGTGCATCGCAAACTCCCCTCCGGCTTGCAAGGGAGCGGCCTTCCTTGGTTTGTAACAACGCCGCCGCCCCAGTTTGCAAATTGCAAACTCCGCCAAAGCCAGCTCCAGCATGCAAAGGGAGAATTGCAGCGGGAAAATGGGGGTGCAAAACAATTTCGGACGGGAAGGCCTTGGGAAGGTGGGAGGGACTGGCGAAGCAAGGCCTGGACTTCCCCCCATCCTTGGATTCCCGGCTTGGTGACCCCTCCCCCCCGCGCCCCAGGCACTGCTCTTGCAAAGGTGGGAAGAAGAGAAGAATTAGAACGCAGATCTGGGGGGCGCGAACCCCCTCTCAGGTCCTATTGTTCCGGGACTGTGCGAGGCCGCGCCGATAGGCGCCCCCCCAAGAAATTCCGCGCGCAGAGTGGGCACGGGGCCCCGCCCCCTTCCTAAGCTGGGGTTGTGTGTGTAAGGGGGGGTCCGGCATCTGGGACACGCCCCCTTTAATGCCTCCACCCCCAAACGCAGAGAATCCTAGTTGATGGCAAGGAGTGGAGGGTTTGCCCTCTTGAGTCCGGCCACGGATTGGGGCCGTTGCCTGGGAAGAGTCGCATGTTTCCCGTGTGTTTGTGTGTATGAGCGTGGGCCCTGTGCGTGCGGGGCTGGCAGCGTGTTCACCTGTGAATCTGCCCCTTTCCTGCTGCTTCTTGGTGTGGCGCCCTCACACTTCACAGTTCACCTGACTCTGAGCACCTCCCCCCCAACACACCTGGGTTTCCCATCAGGTCATAACCCCAAGTGTGTCAGGATTTTCCGTGTGGGACTCCTCCGTCTATATCTTTTCTTCCCCACGGGTGAGTTGGATACCCGTTTGCACACATACCTGGCATTGCACGGGCCCAGGCATTTGAACCTCAACCCCCGGGGATGGACGGTGTTCTTGTTCACACTTGTACCTGGTACTTTCCCCGGGTCTTATTCCCTCTTCTCTCCACCCCGCCACCGCTGCTGCTTGGGGACCGATCTGCGTTCTGCTCCCAACTTGTTTTGCACCTCATGGAGTTCAAGGCCTGTGTTCCCATGTGTCTACAGAACAGGGGGCGTCCATGTGCAACTCTGGGGTTGGCCCTACGGCCTGTGTCGCCAGCACGGGGGCTGGGGTGGGTGGTCGGTGGGGTCGATGGCGGGGGGCTCACATTTGTAGCTCAAGACACTTTTTCTGCCTTGGACCCTCTTCTGTGTGTTAGTGTCGTCTCTAAGCATGCCTGTTTGTAAACGTGACTATCCGGGGTCTGGAGTGGGGGCCATTTCTGTGGCTCTTTAGTTGGGCACCCCGATTCTCCCCTTTAAGGCCTAAGGTTCCTTAGCTTAACACCCCCCACCCCAGTCAGCTGGAAGTGTCCCCCCAACTCCCCGGGGGTTTTCCTGAGCTCTCTTCTGAGAAGGCAGCTTGGGAGAACCCCCCTGACGTCTACCCTTTCCCCCCAGCTTGGTCTATGGCAGCTCCAGGACCTCGCACCCCGAGACGGACATCTTACACCGCCAGGCCTACGCGGCCCCCCACCCACTGCAAAGCTATGCCACCAACCACCACCCGGCAGGTACGGCCCCCATCCCGCCCCTTTTGGGCTAACCCTCCTCCCGAGGCAGCTGATTGGCTGTTGAAAGTTCCGCCCCTCCTAATTGGACGTGGCTCCTGCCGTGGCCCGCCCCTTGCTGTGTCTCCTCTGATTGGTTGCCTTTGAGGCTGCTGGTCCCTGCTTCATTTCTCCCCGGATTCGTCCGCCCCTGCCTCGTCCCGCCCCTTTCGCTCCAATTGGCCCCGTCCCATCAGCCCCCAAATCCCACCTCTCTTCCAGGCTTTTCCGCCTCTCTGCAGCCCACCCCAATTCTTTCCCTCTGGGTTTGCCCTATTCTTTTGGCTCCTTGCAACTCTGAATTCTTTCTTCCTGATTCCCTTTCTTCCTGATTGGCTCCAATTATCTGGCCCGCCCTCTTTTTTTTTTTTTTTATTTTGCCCCATTGCCTTATTTTACCCCCTTGTCTTTGCCTCCATGGTTTCTGATTGGTTCCCGCTTCCTCGGGGTACCGGCAATGACGTGATGCTGTCCAGTTTGACCCTCGACCCTCCTGATTGGCTCCTTCCCTTTTTGTCTTCCCATCTTTTTCTCCGAATCTTCCCACGTGGTGCAATCCCTTTTGATTCGTCCTCTGGTGTTTCTGAGACTCCAGTCGTACCGTCCTTTGCTCTAACTTGCTGGAAATACGCAAATTTGGTCTCCCTCCTGTCCTTACTGAGGACTCTGCCCTTTTGCCCCTGGCTCTTTCACTTCTAGATTTTTTACGCTTTTGTCTACCATTTCCTACCTGGACCCCCTGCGCTTATGACTGGATTGCCTGCTGTCCTGCTTTGCTGTCTCACCTTTCCCCCTTCCCTCCCCTCATTCATGTCTCATTAGCTTGGTTCTGTCCATTTTCTCCTCTTTGAATTTGCCCTTTTCTCTTCCCTCCCCTCCTTTTTCTGATCCACCTTGCCTTTGGCCTCTTCCCTTTCTCTCTTGACCTTGCCCTACGCATCCCCACCTGGCTGACTCTACCCCCTGTCCCCGGCCAGGCCTCTCTGGACTCTTCGACACTGGCCTCCACCACGCGGGCTCAGCAGGGCCCGACGCCTCCGTCATGAACCTCATCTCGGCCCTGGAATCCCGGGGCCCCCAGCCTGGCCCCTCCGCCTCCTCTCTCCTCTCCCAGTTCCGCAGTCCTTCCTGGCAAACAGGTAAGCCCAGCGCCGGCCCTGCAGGGCCAGGGTGGGGCTGGCTTGCTGTCCTCTCTCACCCTCCATCTTCCTCATCTCCAGCCATGCACACGCCAGGCCCCACGGAGCTCTTCATCTCGGGCGCCCTGCCGGGTTCCAGCACCTTTCCGTCCTCCTCCGCCCTGTCGGCTTACCAACACCCGGCTTCCTTCGGCAGCCGCCCCTTCCCAGTGCCCTCGTCCCTCAGCCTCCAGGACCCCCCATTCAGCCCTCCAGCTAACGGGCTCCTGTCCCCCCATGACGTGCTGCACCTGAAGCCCTCGCAGGCACCCACGGTGCCCTCTTCGTTGGGCTTTGAGCGCCTGGCAGGGGGCGGTGTCTTGGGGCCAGCTGGTCTCGGTCCAGCCCAGACCCCCCCTTACCGCCCTGGTCCCCCAGACCCGCCACCTCCTCGCCACCTCCCAACTCAGTTCAACCTGCTGGCTTCCTCTTCCGCTGCCGCCGCGGCCGAGCAGTCCTCCCCACAGCTCTACAACTTCTCGGGTGCTGCCCCAGGCCCCCCGCCGCCTGAGCGGGCTCTGCCCCGCCAGGACACGGTCATCAAGCACTACCAGCGGCCGGCCAGTGCCCAGCCCCCACCGCCCCCGCCACCAGCCCATGCCCTCCAGCACTACCTGAGCTGTGGAGGCAGCTACCCCTCCATGGGCCACCGGGCCAACCTGGCCTGCAGCCCTCTGGGCGGTGGGGAGCCCTCTCCGGGTGCTGGGGAGCCTAGTAAGGCTGGTCCCAGCGGAGCCACAGCAGGGGCGTCAGGCCGGGCTACGGGCCCTGAGGCGGCAGGGGGCGGTGGGGCTGGAGGTGGTGGCGGAGGTTACCGCCCCATCATTCAGTCGCCTGGGTACAAGACGGGCAAAGGTGGTTATGGAGCAGCTGCCGGGGGTGCCACCAGGCCCCCCCCACCCCGTTCGACCGCCACCCCCAAATGCCAGAGCCTGGGTGGGCCAGGAGCCGCCTATGCCACTGGGAAGGCCTCTGGGGCTGGAGGAGCAGGGGGCCAGGCCTATTCCCCTGGTCAGCCCCAAGGGCTTCTGGGACCCCAGGCCTATGGTCAAGGGTTTGGAGGGGGGCAGGCACAGGACTTGAGCAAAGGCCCCAGCTACTCAGGGGGCCCCCCACAGCCCCCCAGTGGCCCCCCTCCTCCTGGCCTGGCCACATGTCAGAGCTACTCCCCGGACCAGCTGCAGGGGCAACTGTATGGGGTGCAGGGCGAGCCATACCCAGGGCCAGCTGCCCACTCCCAGGGGATGCCCACAGCCAGCCCCTCACTCAGCTACAGTACCGGCCATTCCCCCGCGCTCTCGGGCCATGGGGGTGGCTGGGGACCCAGTTCCTTGGGAGGTGGTGGCGAGGCCAGCCCATCTCACATCATTCGTCCACTCCAGTCACCGCCTGCCAC